CTTCAAGACTATTGGACAATGATCAGAAGCTACTCTAGCTAGGTGTCTTACCATAGCTACCTGACCACCATTGATAGCTATGGAATTAAGTAAACACCTGTCCAACATCTCAAGTATTCGATCTCCTCCTGATTTGTTGTTACACCAAGTGAACCTTGGTCCAACAAACCCCACTTCATGTAAGTCATTTACATTCAAAAAATCAGCCATCTCTTTGGGACCTTGTGAGAAAACGAATTTCCTTCCACCTCTCTTGTCTTCTTGAGACAAAATACAATTGAAATCTCCCCCAACAATAAAAGGAACCTTTTTATTGGAAACCTCCTGTAAACTTCCCCATAACTCTCTCCTCTTCACAACCTCCTTACTCCCATAAACAGTTGCAATCATCCACATCCCTTTATTGAAGACATTAAGGTCTCCAAAAACACACTGATCTGACTTTTCCTCAAAATTGAGAAAGAAGCTATGTCCGACCTCCACAATACCATAATACCTCCAGATAGGCCATCTGACGGAAGAAGATAGAATTCCCAATCCGGTCCCATAATTTTCTCAAAGGAAACTTTGTTAAAAGCATTGATCTTTGTTTCCGCTAACCCCACAAATAGAATACCATGATCTTTAATCACCTCCTTGAGATATAGAGAGGCCTCTTTTTTCTTGGCCCTCTACAATTCCAAAATGCTAAGGAATTCATTAATTCAACCTAGGGGATGAGGCCCCTTCCCTTCTTTTGCTTCCTCCACCATCAAAATTCCTACCTCGAGGAATGTTCTTAATTGGTCCAAGAGATTTCAACTCTTTAGCAAATTTCAATTTATTAACCTCTCCATTAGCACCTCTATCCCTTCCCACATTACTTCCAGAATTATTTTTGTCAACATCTTCTACACTACTCATCTTCATTACCTTACCATCACAATCTCCGTCATTTTCTCCCAAACACCTATCCACTTCTATCAACTCTTCATTCAACATATCCTCATTAACAGATTTCAGAATATCAAATTTATTAACAGAATTTGATATATTTGGAATAACAGATTTAGAGATCATACACATATCACCTTCAAAATTATCCTCACAGTTGTCAGAAGATCCTATCTTCATCATAGCTTCAGCTCCAATTACTTTATACATGCGCCGTTCATATTCCAAAACGAATTCACCTTCTTCTAACTGTTCTGCATCTACCAAATCAGCTTGCTTTAGGTGAGAAGAAACCTTCCTGATATCAGATAGAACAGATCTCTCCTCCTGGACAGCCGAGATCTTTTTAGCAATCTTCTTAACAAATCTCAAATTACTAGATTTCACAACATTACTTCTCTGAACAGGCCTACTCCCTTTCTTGTGGTTGACAAGAATCCATGGTCAATAGGACGGTTCTTTAACCATCTCTTGCAAATTTCTCCTTCGAGCTTCTTCATTGTTATTATGAACTACAGCCTTTTACCTCCTTGGAAATGGTTTCCTTATTTGCACAATCATTCTTCAAGTGCCCAATCAATCCACATTCAAAACAAATGTTAGCCACTTTCTCATACTCTACTTTTTGAAAGAACCTTCCAGAAATCCTGTCCACCCATACTCCCAACGGAAGAGGTTGATCAAGCTTTACCCGAACACATATTCTAGCAAATTCCCTCCTTCCCCATTGGAACAAATTCCCATCCATCATTAATGGTTTACCAATTCTAGAAGCAATTCTTGCTATATTTACTTCATCCCAACATTGCAATGGAAAATTTGGCATTCTAACCCATATAGGAGAGGTTAGACCCTTCATGGATAATGCAGAAAAATTTGCAGATCATCTCTCCATCCCTATTATATGTCCATTAATAAAACACGTACCTCCTGAAAGAACTGCTTCCACCATCTCATCCGATTTAAATAAGCATAAGAACCATCCTATTCCCAAAGTGGTGAAATGAAATTGCCCCAAATGACTCCATTGCCTTCTTATTTCCCAAGCTACCAAATGAGATGCCAATTCTTTTCCAAATACCTTAATCACCACCGAATTCAACAGTTTCTTTGAATTCGAAATCTCCAGCTCTTCATTCATCCTTACGGCCTTACCATCTTCTGACAACAACATTTCTTCTTCTTTAAAATCAAGTCTGATATAACGCTTGTTACTCCAAGGATTAATGTTGCCCATACTAACAGTAGTATTAGGCATTTCATCATTCACCTTAGCCACACTCGTTTCATTACTATCATTCACCAACGAATGAATATTATTGTTAACCAAATTCAAAGAATTCGCATTTATCACACTGTGTCCAGGGATTGCATTTGAATTCCCAAATATGTTAACAAAAATTTTCATTCCTGATGATGATGCAGCAGGATCCAACGAGATAGAAGAAGAAAAAACTTTTTCAGTTCTAGGAGTAACACTGATCACAGGTACTTTTAATCCTTTACCTTTGCCTTCCACATGCTTGATCTTCTTGGGCGCTTCCTCTGATACATCTCTAATCACCAAAGGTCCTTGTGGTTTAAACAAGTGATCCTCCGAATACTGTTTAGATTTCAGCAACAGCATTTCATTACCCTTCATATCTATCTTCGAATTACCAACGAAGGACGGAGGCCTAATCGTCGGGGCTTGTGCTTGCCGGCGACTCTCCGCCGCCATCAACCACAACTATTCCTGATAACCAGGAACCAATTCCGAGAATGAAATTTGAATTTTTCTGGAGTTTCTCACTCTAACGAAAATTCTGGAATTTCTCTCTCTATGCCCTAATAAACCAAGCTGATTTTGTATGGATTAGGATTTTTGGTGGTCTTAAGCTACAATGCCTGCACCGTTGCTCGTGACACAACATTCTCGGTGCATCCATTATCAATCAACAAATTGCACACCTTCCCATTGTTGGTGCATTTGGTCCGAAACTAAGCATTCCGCTGAGTCGTATTGAAGTTGATTAGGAGGTAATAACAATTTCTCCAAAATGCAAACAAGTGGTTCTCCATCATCCCCCTCAACATCTTCTATTGCATTTTCATAGCTGGCCGCATTCTCATCACAGTCTTCTTCAGCATCTGTCTCCACCCACTGCAACATCTTTCATTGCATTTTCACAGTTGGCCGCATTATCATCACACTCTTCTTCAGCATCTGCCTCCACCCATTGCAACTGCGGCCTAATCGGACACTCACTGGACTTGTGCCCTTGTTGAAAACAACGAAAACATTTAATGTTTGTGGGTTTGGCACAAGGATTGTCCTTGTTTGGTACATTTCTTGTGTCTACTATTTTATTAGTAGAATTGATGGGTCCCGTTGCTCCAGGATTCATAATTTGTTGTTTGTTGGCTTGCGACACAGCTGAATTGAGAGATAAGATGTTCTTGGCTGCAAATGCATGAGTGCATCTAGATTGACTGCTGCGAGTATGTCTGAGTAGCTGCAACACCACCTTCAACGCATAATTCACAGCCTGTGATAAAGACCACACAGTATTTAACTCCAGTTTATCCTGGATCTCCTCCCACAATCCGTCAATATATATTTGGCCACTATTTGGTTATCTGATTTGTTTAAATTGTTGTGTGCACTTAAACGAAAAATTCTTCAATATATTCATTAATAGTTCTATGCCCCTGGACATAATGCTGATACTATAGATACATCATTTGTTCGTAGTTAGTTGGCAAATAATGGCCTGCAACAACTATTTCATCTTGTGCCAACTGTGTATTTGTCCATGCCCTTCCCGACGCCTTGATTAAAGCACTTGCTGGCACCATGCAGTAGCTCCTCCCTCGAGCCTACAAGCAACATACTTCACCTGCTTTTCTGGTTCAATCTCCATATATTCAAAGAATATCTCTACCAATCAATCCCAATCCAAATAATCCTCAATATGTAATATACCATCAAAATAGCATATGTCTAGCTTCACCCAAAATTCACTATGTAGTCGTTCTACGTCTCTCAGCATCCTCCTTCGCTGATTAGTCATTTCCTATTTGGAATATGAAATGTCCAGATTTCTGAGTCAATCCAGTTCATCCTCTACTCAAACGCCTCGATGATTTGAGAACCTCATTGTCGCCATCTGTCGTCATCAAGTACTCGCCTCACAGCAAGACATGCTGTTGGAACTGTAGTTCGCACCGGATGGCATTTATCGCCCTCATTCCTGTCTCACTTCACCAAATAAATAATGAACATCAGTCGCTAAATCATCTACTTGTTGCGCCAAACTACGGTGTTCGATCCATAAAGCTTCAAAGTTGTTGTCGGCCCCAGGAGCCACCGGCCTGTTGCCTTCAACCATCTAGACTGATGTAGGAATCCTGCGGAAGATGGTTAGTGCAAGCAAAAATTGAATAAAACAGTAACTTAAAGGTTACCAAGAACCTGTATCAGGTAAAATTGAAAAATCAAGAGTGTCTTCCTCCTACCTTTCCCGAGTCCTAATACTTCTTTCTCTAACAAACAATAATAAGAAGGTGCAAACAGCCACTAGCGCACTCATGTGCAGCAATACTAGAAAATAGTAAATAGCGTAGCAAATCCTAATTAACAATTACAGAGCATGTGGGTTTAAACTGTCCCGCCAAACCACCTAACTTTAGATGCTCCGCATCACTTAAACAGGTACTGCAAAAATGATTCAAGACTGTAAATGATACATCTACTGCCTGCCCCAGAAATCACCTCAAAGAAAGAAACATGGTCTAAGTGGATTGCGTGTCTATCTTGAATAACCAATTAGAACCATGGCCGAATCATACAGTGCCCAATAATTCTTCAGCGGGATGAATTCTACATGTAAAGGAACTCTCGATACCAATCACTATCAAGCAAAATAAATTCAGAACCAAAACTAAGCATCAGTACTAAAAAAGATGAAAGGTTTCCATCAGTAAACGTAAAACAAAAAGAAATTGTTCAAACAAAAACAGGAAAGCAAAATCTTTACCAGCACACAGACAGAAACCCTCACCGTCATATAGTGGAGGATCAGTACCTTAGATATATACCAGAAAGCCTATGATGAGCCTTGCCATAGGCCGGATCAAGTTGAATGGCAACCTCACACTCCTTCACTGCCTCTTCCAATCTTCCCAGCCCGCTTAGTGCTGCTGCCCTGTTATTCCGGCAAGCTGCATTGTTTGGGCACATCTCAACAGCTCGGTCATAGAATTTTAGCGCCTCTGCAAACTGCCCCTTCTTATAGTGCTCATTTCCGGCCCTTGTAGCCTCCTCCGGATCCGCCCTCTTTCCTCTCCACGACTCAGTCTCACGACCGCTTGGGGCCTTCACCGTCACCGATCCAAGTGGACCGCCTCGCAATATGCTTCCGTGTCCATAATTACCAGTTCCTGATCCAAGAACATCGTTTCTCGCCGTGCTCCTGCTCATCATCCCCATCTTTCCAACCTTTCCAGAGGGGCAAATGTTCCCAGCCGGAAGCACATTGGCAACTGGTGAGCTGGCAGAGGAGCCACCTCCAACGCCTGAGAAGCTCCTCGGGCTGGAAAGCTCTTTGGAGTGGCCGCGCTCTCGTCCGCTATCCCATTTTCGGTCCCCAGCGTTTTGCGTTGGCTTTCCAGAAGAACCGGAGGAGCTTGAGCTGCTGCTAGTGGCCGCCGTAACAGTGCCCTTGATCCGGAGAGGCGAGAGAGGGGACGCAACTTCAGTGAACTCCTTAGCATCACGTTTGTTTCCCTCGAAGCTAAGCATGGAATCAAATCGTTCAGAGACGGATTCCACCGAGAAGAGTTTTGGGGATTTCGCCCATGCGTCTCCCAACCTTGACATGTCACCTAACCGCCCCTCGGCTCCGCTCAGATCTGTTGCAATAATAAGTAAGCCTGTCGTTAACTGACGCCGCAGACCACGAAGAAAGTAGAGCAATATTGCCACTTTGGAGAAGATGACGAAGCAAAAGTCATGAAAGAGATGAAATTTAAGACGATGAAGAGGAGGAAAGTGAAGGAAATGAAAAGATGGATATCTCGTAAGCACCAAAAGAAAACGCAAAGAATGAATGTAGGTAGATATGGAAATGGAAGGCGAAGCAGAGAACGATGGAAGCTCAGAGGAGTAAAAAAAAAAAAAGTAATGAAAGAGCACTGCAAATTGGAGGAGCACCTTTCCCCACTGGCGCTTCTCCCTCCCTCTCTTTCAACACTCGCTCATCGTTACCCGTATCTCTCTGCCTCTGTCTCTCTCTCGCAACTGCTCGAGCAGGCCAGCCTTCCCATCTTTCCCACTATTTCATGCATCCTAAGAGTGCGAACGATCTAAAATTTTTTCTCCGCAATTAATTTGCATTTATGGCTAGGTTCGTGCTTGCAAGAGGTCACTTCCCAAATCCCACGCACAAATAAACCAACGGGATTTTATTGTGTCACTAACGAACGAAAATAGCCTAGCTTTCTGTAAAAAGACCGTATTTGAGAAGAAAGAGTTGGAACACGGAGAAGTTACGGGCCGATAAAAACGTTACGCAGAAAGTCCATTAGGGGTAGTTTTGTAATTTTCGGGTTCCCAGCGACCGGGCCAGCTGGCCATGTGCATAGTACTGTGCCAGCTGGCCGCAGACAGAGAAACGTAAGCGCTCCAGCTAAGCCGGTGATGGCGCCCTATAAATGGCGTTGGCGAATCTAGCGAATATTCCGTTTAATTTAACAATAATTAAGTGCGTATATACTTGTATTTTTTCCGTTCATTTTTTATTTTTTGAAAAAAAAATTAATCTTTTCTTTTTTTCTTTGCATAGCTCGAAACTCTTCTGCTAAGTTATAAGTTTAAGCGGCTTTGTCACCAAGTCGCTAAGTTGGGTAAGCTACTCAAATACTTCTAATCGACACTGTCTTTATACTCTATTTCGATCAAGGGATTCAATATCAGCCGTCCATTCGACCACTCCCTATTTGCCCTTGATCTCACACCTATTTACAAGCTATGTCACTCCAGAAAATCTATAAATAGACCCCTCATTTCTCATGAGAGGGGACCCAAGCAAAAAAGAAGAGAAGAAGAGAAGAGAAGGATAGGAGGGAATAGCTCATCCTCAACCACTGTCGGAATTCTTCCCGCCGCCTAAGTAACGTCGGAATTCTGCCGGACCCCCGGGTAATGCCGGAATTCTTCCCGAGTAACGTCAAAGTTTTGTTCGACGTCAAAATTCAATCCAACCTCCAGACGACACTTGAATTCTGCTCAATCTCCGAAGGACGCTAGGTTTCTACTTGATCTCCAAGTGACGTCGGAACTCTGCTCAACTTTGTAACTAAATCTCAATTCAAAAGAAATTCATTGTAATATGATCATCCTAACTTTTATGGATGAGTCAGCCTCTTATTTGTCAAACAAACACTAGTGAAACTTTTTCAACTAGGCGTGACCCTGTGGTTTTTTCCCTATTCATGATTTTCCACGTAAAAATCCTAGTGTTTCTATTTCTTTCATGTTTGTGTGCTAGATATTCGTACAACGCTAAGACGGGAATTTTTTAATTCTATCGCCACGTATATTCTATTCCATAATAGTTTGGCGTCGTCTGTGGGAAACATTATCCCACAACTTCAAGTATTGCTACGATGGTCAACAGGCACAACAGTCGCATCGTTGGGGCTTCTCTCTCCAACTCCTACCAATCCAGAAATTAGTCTATGAATCATAGATGCTAGATATCTGCCTCTTTCTACCATGGGTGGCAAAATACAGCTGGAGAAAGAACCTCGAGACCTTCCTTAGAAGAGATAATACGAAAGATGGAAGAATCTCATAATGAGATCCTTCAATTCCTACAAGAGACTCGACAACCGGCACTAGCACAACGGGAGGAAGTTTTTCTCCCACGAGATCCACCATGGGTTGAAGATGTTCAATTCAAGTATCTTCAAGTAGAGTTTCCTCTTCCTCCGCCAAGAAGGCATATACATTCACAACAGAACAACGAACTTGCGATACATCAAGTTCTACATATCCCTCATACACCGGGTGACAACCTCGCATTCATCCAGATCTCCCAGAAGACTCAGCCCAACCACACGTTACTGGGCTCCCTCATAATACCCTACGTCATGAACTGCAGAGATTCATACGGGAAGAGTTTCCTCGAGGAGATGTAAGGCAAACTCTTCGACAGAAGGACTTCCAAGAGTCGCACCTCTAACATAAGCCATTCTTCAGCACCCCATTCCGGTTGGATTTAAAGTACCCAGCATCGAGTCTTATGACGGGACGTCCGACCCGTATGAGCATATTTACCACTATAGAACCATCATGCATATTCAACGAGCCTCGGACGTACTCCTCTGCTAGGTCTTTCCTGCCACCCTTAAGGGACATACTCGTACATGGTTCTATTCACTTCCATCCGGAATGATCCCCTCATTTGTCAAATTGGCCAAAGTGTTCGTCGAATAGTTTGTGGCAAATAGAATAATTGCTAAGGATTCTTCTCACCTCTTAGGGATCCGTCAAAATGAAGGGGAATCGTTGAAAGAATATTTTCAGCGATTTTCCACTGAAGCTCGACAAATTCCAGAAGTTGATCCTGAATTACTTAAAGGGGTCTTTCTTGGAGGCCTTCGTCTTGGCCCATTCTATTTGGCGCTCATGCTAGATACTGTTCATTCATACGCCGATCTGATTCATCGTGTGGTTCGCACAAATCTGAGCATATGAGGCCATAAATGCTCATAGAAGCAGTTTGAGCAAACTAATGGGAAGCACAAGGGTGCACCTGGAATAGATAATTCACCCTCACAATGGAAGAAGAAAGGGAAGAACAATCTACCTCCTAGGCCTCCATTGCCACGACGAGAACCTCGATAAAAGGAGTATACTCCACTCAATATATCTCGAGCAAATGTACTAATGGCTGTTCGAGTCAAAATATAGTAAAATGGCTGCATCCCTTGAAGCCGAATATAGGAAATCAAGATCAGTATTGCCACTTTCATTGTAATCGTGGCTACACTACCGAAGCATATAGGGAACTCAATGAGGAGATTGAAAGACTTATCCGACAAGGCTATCTTCGATAGTTTATGTGGGTCTCCGAAAGGATTCCGCTCGTGTGCTTCGAATGCAAAGGGTACGATCACACTATCCTGTAGGACAAAATGGTCGTAGGCCTTTACACTCGGCACAAGCAGGCCGATGGAAGAGCAGATGGAGTTATAGATACGATTAGCCATGGAGGATAACGCTTTCACCTACCGACCTCGATGGATAATAATATCTATAACCCAAAAGTTCACGAGATTTCCCCTATTCGATACATC